TGTATGTATCCATATTTATGTATGTGTATAACTCTGTGTTACAGGGAGTAGAAGAGGGTACAATGTGTCTTCCAACAGTTCATCCAACACTTAGTACGTAAAAAAAGTCTGTCTGCTAATATAAAAAAGTCTACTGCTAATATATCTTTTTATTTCTACTTCTGCCTTTTTATGTTATGATAGTATGAATTTAAAGCTTCCAGCTTAATTCTCTTTTTGCAAAATGAAGGATTCAGTAATTCTATTGTGTTGGAAAAGCAGTATTTTTTAAAGATTGTTTGAGGCATCCAAATTCAGAAAAGCTATGTATTTTGATCTTACACAGCCTTTGTTTTTGATAAATTCACATGAATGTAATACTTGTAATACCTGTTTTTTCTTTCTTTTTTCTTTTTTTAATCAAACTGTTTTGTATATCCCTTAAACAAATTAATATACATATTTGATTATATGTTTACCAGTTAATTGAAATGTTAATTGTTTAAACTGAAACTACAGATTCTTCAGTTCCAGTCAGTCCCTTTCAAAAAGTGAAGGTTTATGCTCTAAAAAAGGGAAATGCAATTATTGAACAGCTGTGATTTTGTGTGATTTATAAGTTCTTACTAGCTGGTATGCTATGCACAATGCTAAGGAAGATTTTATTTTTTATTTGGAAGTGTTAGAATTCTTTTTTGGTATATTCTAAATGTTAAATGATCACAACTTGATGCGAAAATTGTATGTGCATGTGAACTGTTTATGATTTTTTTGGTTAATTTTCTCAAAGTTTGATTTAGGAAATGATCTAAGAATTTCTGTGTGGCGCACTTGAAGGTCCCATTGAAAATTCAGCTTCAAATAGGAAAACTTGCTTCTTTATTTTGATAAATCAAATTTCTAAATTTTCCTATTTGAAGTTTAGCTTCAAATAGGAAAACTTGCTCATTTATTTTGATAAAACTAACATGAGTTCACAGTTTAGATTTTCTCAGCAAATATGTTAAGTTTGTTAAGTTTAGTTAATTCATATACCATGTATTGTAATGTGAACAATCAACATTAATTGCAGGCTTTGAATTTTGGAATAAAAGTCTGCTGCTGTCTTTGAGAGAGACACTCTTTTAATTATTTGTGTGAACTTTTTCATGACACTGTTAAATCTTGGGCAAATGTTTAAAGGCCTGTGTGTGGTATGGTAATTGCATTTTTTGTTTGAAAAACAAAATACATTTTCTTCTCAGCTGTAGAAAACAAAACCTGTTCACTAAGAAATGAAAAGAACACAGGTGTAAAGAAATGGAATTACATTTTTGCATAAGATCTGTGACTTTGCCTTGACTTACATCTGGACCTGTTGTAATGCATTGGTTTTGCTATGGTTCTTTTATGGCAAGACCTCCAACGGTGGCAATAATTATAATAGTTGCATTTCTTTTGAATTGAACATTTTGAATTTCAATTGTTTAAAAAATGTTCCAATTATTTCTGAAAAAGGACCACTTGGTTTTTAATATGCTATATGTAAGAAAACCTTCTTGTTCCAAGGCAACAGTGCCCCACCGTGCAGCCCTGTAAGAATGATATTCCAAAGATGTTTCAAGTGTTCCAATAACGTCAATATTTGAAATTGAAATATTTGTGCCCCTCCATGTTTTTATTTATTTATTTTTTTGTTTTTAAAACCCCATTTTATACAACATGCAGCTGTCTAATGGCAGTGGGGAAGAAACTGTTGTCGAATCTGCTGGACCTGCATCCAATGCTTCAAAGTCTCTTACCCAAGGGCAGCAGGGAGAACAGTCCATGGTGGGCGTGTGAGGGGACATTTATGATGAAATGTATTTTATGGAGGGAATAGAAGCCCTGATTATCCTCTCTGCAGTTTTCACCTCTTTTGTCACCTTCTTCCAGTCTGAGGTGCTGAAGCCTCCACGCCACACTGTGAGACAGCTGGTCAGAACGCTCCCTATGGTGCTTTGGAAGGTTGTGAGGATGGCTGGTCGAAGGTGGCCTCTCCTCATCCTCCTCAGGAAGTACATGCACTTTTGTGCCCTTTTGACCAGTAATGTGGTGTTTACAGTCCAGTTGAGGTTGTCTGGGATGTGCACCCCCAGGTATTTGGTGCCGCTGACAACCTCTACCACTGAGCTGTGAATGAGCATTGAAGCGTGGTTAGGCCGGTACTTCCTGAAGCCACAGTCATGTGTCATCAGAGTGAACAGCAGGGGGCTCACGACGCAGCCCTGAGGGGAGCCTGTGCTTAGGGTGATGACATCAGAGGTGTTCTGTTCGATCCGGACTGACTGAGGTCTGTCTGTGAGGAAATCTAGCAACCAATTGCAGAGGAGGGGTGTATTGAATCCCAGCTGTTCCAGTTTGCATATCAGATGCTGTGGGATGATGGGGTTGAAAGCTGAACTGAAGCCCAGGAACAGCATCCGGACGTAGGTGTTCTTCTCCTCCAGGGGTGCTAGACTCAGGTGAAGAACAAAGGAGATGGCATCTTCAGTGGAGCGGTTCCGCCAGTAGGTGAACTGGAACGGGTCAAATGTTGGCAGCAGACTTGAGACAATGTGTATTTTAACCAGCCTTTCGAAGCACTTCATCATGATTGGAGTCACAGGGCTTATGTTGTAGTCTGTGCTTGCCACATCCTCCTGGTGTTTCTGGCATTGTGGAAAACATTCTGGATCTTCTGGCTGTGGTTCTAATACACTGTGGTTTCTGTGGATCTTTCCAGTCAAGATGTCATGTGGCTGTCCCTAAGATCTGTAGTGTTGACAGAGATCTGGAACTGCTACTGTCTTGAAATGAGACAGATGTACCCAGTATTCAAGGAGAGACAGTCAGTAGGAAAGTTCAAAATGTTTATTAAATGAAAAACAAAACTAAAGTGGAGCTTCTAGGATCTGCGGCTTGCTGATGCTGCAGGAGGGGGGCGGAGCACCGCCCAATCTTAGACACTCTGGTTTAGCAGGTCAGTCCATAACCCTTGAAGGGGGTGCGATCCAGCAGACTGGGCTGACTGCTGACGCGGCACCAAGAGTGTCCCTGGTGCTGCAGCTCCGGAGGATTGACAGGAAGCCGATCCTGGTTAGGGAAACAGATCAGGCAGGAACAGACAGGATCCAGGCTTCCAGGTAATTCACCAGCTCCCAGGCAGGTTCAGAGTCTGACCGAGTCCAGAGGACAGGAGCAGACAGGATCAGATGCAGATGGGCAGGCTCAGTGGAACAGGGTAGCCGAGACAGGATGTGGAACCAGAACTTAATGCAGGACCTTTAAATTGGTGTGGTTATTTCCTTGGGAGATCTCTGATGGCTGGGGCTGTGCAAACATAGCAACAATATTTTTTTATACTGAAATCACACATTTGCTTAATATGAGAAATTGTAGTTTCAATGCTTGGTGAGTATCTGTGCTCCTCGCTGACTGATTCCCCTGTTTCTCCCAACTACATTAGGTTAGAGTATAATTTATCACTTAACTCTGCTAGTAGCGAATCAAATCACGCATATACTGCTGCTGTGATTGTGTAGTTCAAATTTGATATGAATCCAGCTTATGGCAGGTTAGGTAAAAGAGTGGAGTCCAGACCATGGTACTGATATTTACAGGCCTCCTCAGTCCAAAATTAACTTAATAATTATTTTATTAAACACATTACCTCTGATGTGCTTAAAATGATGGCTTAATTATTGTTGGAGACTTCAACATTGGCACTGACTTTCGTGAAGATCTATCAGATCCATCAGAACTACAAACGGACAAAATACATCTACTGCTTTCTTAATGTTTTATGTACAGTTTTCCTTAAGAAAACTCTGCTTGTCATAACAAGCAGAGCTTAGGCAGTAAGTCCTTCATCAGTAAGTACAGTCTCCTCCCTTGTCAAGGCATAAAACGCCATGCATATAAATTCAGATTCTGGAAGAACCACATGGTGGTACTATGGGACCTTAGTGCCGCATTCAACACCATTGATCATTATATTAGAGTGCCTGGGAAACTGGGTTATCCTGTCTCATACTGTACAGAACAAAACAGGTTTAAATCCTTCTTAAAAGCCAGGGACTTTTTCTGCCTGTAGGTAATTGTGCCAGAATAGCAAGAAAAATCACAGTTTGCCAGTTGCCCCTATGGTGTATCATTTGGCCCCTCCAATTCAGAACGTACATGCTCCGCCTAACTCAAATTATGATATAAAAAACTCATAATTTACCATAATTATTGAGACAACACTTTACAATGTCACCAGTTGACTAGGAACCCATTCAAGGGTCAGGTAAATGCATAGAAGAAATCAGCACATGGATGAGCAAAAACTCACACCTCACACCTAATCAATCCAACTGTCATTATAATAATAACTCTCATTTTGAGATTTATTATCATCATATTTAGTTATTTACTTTCATTCTCTTTCATATTTTTCCCCTTATGCCACTCCGTTGTACTATTCATTCTTTTTTTCTCACAGCACTTTGAATTGTCCTGCCATTGAAATGTGGCAAAAAATAAACTTATCTTACCTTGCCTTGTCTTAAAGCTTATGTGTCAAACACCTGTCGTTACAAGGCTCCTAAGTTAACAGTGCACGTGAGAGTAAATCCACCAAGTATAAGGTCAAAGGAATTTCATTTATGCACAACCCAGAGAATTATACAGAAACATTTCTGCTGCATTGAATGTCTCAATGAGCACAGAGGCCTTAATCATAAATTTAAGACGTTTGGAACCACTAACACACCCCCTAAAGCTCACTGGGTATGTTAAATAAAGGAGGAACTGTGATAAACTACCATAGGTTCCTGGTCTGATGAGATGAAATTTGAACTGTGGTGTGAATGCAAAGTATTATGTTTTATGGAAATCAGGCACCCATCATGCCCTGTGCAATACTAACCCTACAATGAGGCATGGTGGTAGCAGCACCATGCATTAAGCTTTTTTTCAGCAGCAGGAACTGAGAGACAAGTAGGGAAAGAAAAAAAAGGTGAATGCAACAATGTACAGAGAAATCCTAGTGAAAACCTATTCCTGAGGGCATTTGACTTCAGATTAAAGCACCAACCCTGAATACAGAGTCGAGATCTCAAAGGAGTGAATTCAGGACCATTTGAAATGAGGTTGAATTGGCTAAGCTAAAGGCCAGACCTGAAATCAAATTGACCATCTTAAGTGATCTGAGAATAACAGTGCACAGATGTCTGACATCCAATCTGGTAGAACATGAGATGTATGGAAACTGGAATGGGCCAAAAGATAGGATAGGTGTACTATGCTTTTGTCACCTTATAAAAAAAGGTCTGTGACAACAAAGAATTTAGCTAAGGTGAATTCTTGTCACACAAGTATTAAGATTGGGAACAGAAGTGTAATTTTTTTATTCATGCTGCGTTTTATTATTTGATATAGTTCAATTGTATCACTGGATCATGGTTGAGAACAAATATAAACTTTGTATTTTAAAGAATAAGACTTACAAGCTACTCTTAGGACTCGTGTATCTCAATGCCTAACCCTAATCTGATTTGATTGAATAGGGGATTAACAGATTTCTCAAGGTCTAGGAGGTTGTTAAGGAGAAAATGTAATCATTTGATTTAGGTGTGTTGAAGCAGAGAAACATCTAAAGCATGCAGGACAGTGGGCCCCGAGGACCAGGGTTAAACACCTCACGATTAGACATATAACTATACTGTAACCATCTACTATCAGTAGATGAACCCTTAATCCTCAAAAAACTATGAAGGAATATTTATACACTCAGACATAGTGAGGCTATTAATATGACCCACTGTTAGGAATCCAGTTTGTGTGGGTTGTGTTTTTGTTTGTTTTCCATCCACCACCAGGTGGCGCCTGGTTATCGTTGGCCTTCTC